ACGCTACCAGAGCTCCTTTGCACATGCATATTAGACATTTGAAAAGACCATGGTTTGGGTCAGATGCACCTTTGTTCTCAAAATGACTTCTTTGCTTTTGAACATTAAAGAGTGCTTTTGCAGAAGATCTGCCTAATGCAATATGTTGTTTGATTTCTTGAGTGCTGCTTCCATGTGTGTTGATTGTGGATCCAAATAAAATGAGATCCTTAACTTCAATCTTTTTTCCATTTGCCATGATGTTGTCTTTGAGTCTAGTTGTAAGGATTTTTCTTTTCTTTACATTGGGTGTAGTCCATGTTGAAGGCCACAGTCTTTGATCTTTATCAGTAAGTGCTTCAAGGCTTGACTTTTTTTTTCCAGTTCTTTCAGTTTCAGAAATGCTAAGCATATTCTTATCTTTTGATTACCTAACTACAGGTCTTTACATATTTCTCTATAATACTTTCCTTAGTCTTCTCCAGCCACCCTTGGAATCTTAAGCTCAGCTTTTTTGACTTCATCATTTCTTCTACTCCCTTTAGCTACCCCACATTCAAGAGAAAGTTTCAGAGTCTCTTCTGACACCCATTATGATATACATTTTTTCTGTCTCTTTAATGGCCTTTTTTCTTTCATCATGTAGGATGTTCTTGTTATCATGCCATAATTTGTCTGATCTCCAGTCATTTGTTGTTGTTGTTGTTAGGTGCCATCAAGTTGGTACCGACTCATAGCGACCCTATGCACAGCACAACGAAACACTGCCCAATCCGGGGCCAACCTTACTAATGTTACCACACGCGAATCCATCGATGCTGCCACCTGGCCAATCCATCTCGTTGCGGGTCTGCCTCTTTTTCTCTGACCCTCCACCTTACCAAACATGATATCCTTCTCTAGCGACTGGTCACTCCTGACAGTAGGCCCAAAGTATGAGAGATGAAGTTTGGCCATCCTGGCCTGCAGGGGGCACTTTGGTTGCACTTCTACCAACACGGATCTGTTTGTTCTTTTGGCAGCCCATGGTACCTTTAATATTCTCCTCCAACACCATAACTCAAATGTGTCAATTCTTCTA